AAGATATGGACTCTAAAACTCTTATATCAAGCAAATACATATCTGAGGTAACAGCTGTACGAGCCAAAAGTAAGTGAATTTTTAATTTTTTTTTCGATTTTCTCATAAAATCCAGTGCAGCTGAGGTCCTGTTGATGCGTACTATAATTTAAGTAATAATACTTTTGCAATCCGTATATCCAATACAGAGATTTTTCACCGAATAGGAATGTGGTAAAACAGGGAGCTTTAGCATCGCCTTAAGTAATATTAATCACTTCTATTTTTGTCATAAAATGTAACATTTTAAAGTACATTCGGGTCACACTTCACACACATACAAACTATTTAATAGACACTTGAAGAAAACGGGAAATCTACTTATATAGCTTTATCAGTTAAGTGTTTTTATCAAAATTATTAATCATTATCAATTAGTCATTCTGTGGCTACAAGTCTTTTGAAGAAATATATAATTGTTTACTAACACACGACGCGTTTACTCAACGAATAACGACAAAAAGCAATCGATTGATTTTAATATCAAATCTATAATTAATTATGTAACGATGCACCCCCTAAGTGCATCGTACCCGGCATTCCATCCCGCCGGATGCCGCCGCAGTGACCCCCGGTCACTCGCGCGCGATGAGGGCGCAGTGCGCCCGAAAATATTTTATTCGAACAAAACATAATTCATAGGAACAGCGGCCCGCCGAAGGAACACGAGCGCACTCGAAGCGCGCCGAACGTCGCGGCTTCCGCTAGTATTGTAAAACCAGCGAGGATTGCCGAACGATCCTATAATAAAACGAGCAACAATTAATAACGTTCGCGTCACGCGACGCTGATGTATACTCGCGTCCCGCGCCGCGCCTAGACACGCGACTCGCTGCGACGCGTCCCGCGCGTCGCACCGCCCGGGCCTGCACCTGCCGAACCTCACGCGCTAATCGCGTGCCGCGACGTAATATCTTGTTCACGAGACCGTACGCGCACACACACAAATTGCATACACCGAATTCAGTCATAACGAGCACATTCGCATACACACATGCACACACACACACACACACGCACACACTTCGGCGGTCGCTATGGCAAAAATTCACGAATTGCGGTTCGAATTAATTGACCATCCACCGTATTCACCAGATCTGGCCTTCAGCGACTTTTTTCTGTTTCCTAGGCTCAAAGTTTGGCTCGGAGGACAGAAATTTTCATCGAACGAGGAGGTCATCGCATCCGTAGACGCCTATTTTGCAAAGCAAGACACTCAGTATTATTTGAATGGATTAAAGGGGTGGGAGCATCGCTGGAAAAAATGTATCGACTTAAAAGGAGATTATGTGAAAAAATAACATTGAATTTGACCGAAAAATTACTTGTTTCTATGTTAGGCTCAAAACTTTTCAGACGACTCTCCTATATATATAAATCTCTGTCGATTAATTATTCGTTAATTGAAAAGCACTCGAAGAAAGGAACACATTACTGGCACAATACTAACACGACACGCATTCACTCGACGATAAGAAGCAGTTGACCGATTTTACTGGTTATGTTTATAACTAACGTTGTCGAAACGCGAAATCACTTTTTCCTTGTTTATTGCAGGTTTCTGCCTCCGTGACGAAAGGAAATACAATACGGCCAGCTGTTATTAAATAATACAACAAAGTAAGATTGCAAGATACGTTTAACACTGAACTCGACTTTGCAAAACTGTACGGATGATGTAACACTCGTGTCGAAGCGTCTGCCCTCATCGCGCGATCTTTCGAGACTAACGCGAAATCACATATCATAGTAATGTGTGGTTTATGTATAACTGCTCTGTAATCTGTTGGCAGACAGATAATTATGACGAGCAGTAACACCTCCAATAATAACTTCAGTGGTGTAATGCCTATCGTATAATCCGTCAATTACTACATGAGCAGCAATATCCCCAGTAATAACTACACTCTCGGCAGTCGGTCTTTTCCGTGAGAGGTTTCAGATCCTAACTGTATTGAATGGAAAAAAGCCATAGAAGAGGAAAAAGAATCACTTAAAGCTAATAATACATTGGACATTAGTAGATCCACAAGTAGGTGATGTAAAACCGCTAACAAGTAAATGGTTATTTAAAATTAAGAAAGACGGCAGATACAAAGCGCGTTTAGTAATATAAGGATGGAAAAAAAATTTGGAATTGATTTTGAAGAGACGTACAGTCCTGTTGTAAGTATAACAGCGTTAAGATTCCATTTGCTTTGGCAACAATAAGGAAGGTAATTATGGAGATGAAGGGAGCCAGCTCCGATGACCTTGACCTTGACATATGTTGTCAAGGTCATGACCCTGAGTGACCTCCAACAAGTTTTAGCGGTCGCTCATTAAAAAGTTATTAACGGTTAAAGTAAGTAATTAACCTTTTTAAAAAAAGGTAAAAAAAGCGCTAAGCGTGCATGTTTCTCGTAGAACCACCATTTGGGCCGGTTTCACAAACACCAATTACTTAATCAGCCGTGGAACTGATGACTAATCGCGTTTGCTGTTTAGTAGAATTGATCACTTAAGTAGCAAAGCGAGATATATCCTCGCTCTTGGGGTACCACGCGGGGTGAGGGGCCGGGGGGAAAACTGGGCGAGAGGGGTA